GGGGGCTGTGTCTTGTGGTGTGGTGGTTGTGGGTTGTGTGTAGATGTGTGGTTGGGTAGTTGTGGTGTGGTGGTTGTGGGTTGGGTTGCTCTGCTGTAGAATGTGGTGGCTCTATTGTGGGTTGTAATGGCTCAGTTGTGGGCTGGGTGGTTGTGGTGTTGTGTGTTATCGTGTGGTGATTGTGGGATGTGTGAGGAGGTGTGGTTGGATGTTTATTGTGTGGTGGTTGTGAGTTGTTTGTAGATTTGTGGTGGCGATATTGTGGGCTGTGGTGGCTATATTGTGTTGGTTGAGCTGTGGGATAAGTGTAATTGTGGCAAAGTTTGATTTGTTTCCTTCCATACAACTTATACTTGAAAAAGGAGTTAGGCAGTGTGGTTTGTTTGCAAATGGGGCAATGTTTTAATGTGATAGGATCCAAGGAATGAGAAAAAGGTATTTATAAAATAGTTACTACAATTGATTGTGGTTGGAGGTGTTTGTGGTGTTTGTAGTTGTATGTGGAAGATGTGGTTATGTTGTGGTGTGATTATGATTCTATTGTGGTGATTGTGGTTCTGTGTGGAGGTGGTTGCGGTGGCTATGATTGTGCGTGGAGGATGTCGTTGTGTGGAGGAGTGGTTGGGGTTGTGTTGTGGTGGATGTGGTTGTCTGGTTGTGTTGGCTCATGTTTTGGCTGTGGTCGTGTGTGGAGGTCTGGCTTTGTGTGGAGGTGGTTGTGGCGCTTGTGGTTGTGTGTTGAGCGTGTGGTTATGTGTGGAGATGTGGTTGGGGTTGTGCTATGGTGGTTGGGGTTATGCTGTCGTGGTTTTCTGGTTCTGTTGGCTCATGTGTCGGTTTTGGTTGTGTGTGGAGGTGGTTGTGGAGCTTGTGTGTGTGTATGGAGGTTGTGGTTTTGTGTCGAGGTATGGTTGGGGTTGTGGGTTGTGGTTGTCTGGTTGTGTTGGCTCATTTGTGGGTTATGCTTGTGTGTAGAGTTGTGGCTTTGTATGGATGTGTTTGTGGTGTCTGTGGTTGTGGTGGTTGTGGCCGTGAATTGTAGTTGTCTGGTTGTGTTGCTTCTGTGTGGGTTGTGGTTGCTGCCAAATATTAATGTTTAGCCTTTTTTGTGCTAGAAAGAAGTCGGTTCATCAGCTATGTGGGATAGGAAAGCCAAA